AAAATCATCTTCAAAAATTCTGATTAAACAGCAACTTTAGATTCTTTCGAAATATGCCAACCAACACATGCACACAGAAACAGACTGAGTTGAATCCATTAACATAACATATCTTTGTGTGTTTATTTTGGTGTTTTTCTAAAAAATGTCATTTATCAGCACAAACAATCGAAAAAGTAGACATATCACAGCACATTAAAAAAACGGAGCAACACAAATCAATCTATTTTAACATGATAGAGAACACTGAAAACAAAAATATTCAAAGCCTTGCGAAAGCATTCATACTCCTGAAATGTTTTCATAGTTCATCAAGCTCAATGAGTCTTAAATATATGTGAAGAGAGGAATTGATACATAGTAGCCACATAATGATGACTAATTTGTATAAATTTTTCCTGATTCTGGTTCTGTGGTGCTTGAGCCCGGTGGTAGTCCTAATCTCCTGTAACCAAATGCAGACCAGATTTAATTTCTCCTTAACGTTAAGACAGTCCGGCATAGTTCAACTCAATACAGTCATTGAAGCACGTTTGTACTGATGAATCGCCACAGACAGATTCTCCTTAGTCTTTCAGAGCAGTAACTATCAGGAATGCAGCTGTAGTCTTGAAATGGTCTCTCACTGGTTTGATTTCAGTCTTGTTATGTTCTGATCTTGGTCTTTACCAAGTCTCGGGTTTTGCTGGATGTAAGGCTTCCCCCACCGTGTCATGTGGGTTCAGGCTGATGTGCATGTTTTACTTTTTTGCATTTTGGCCAAAAGATTCTATTTTGGTCCCATATGAACAGAGCACATTTTCCATGTTTTAGATTTAATTATTAGCAAAAATAAAATTCCCTTCACTTCACAATTATGGACTAGTTTATGTTGATGCCTATATTAAAAGCCTCGTGAAAAAAAAAAAAAAGATAGGTTTGCCAAGGTAATGTGACAGAGTGGGAAAAAGTCCAGGGGTATACATACTTTTAAAAAATAAAAATGCCTATATTGTGCCACAAACGGAAAATTCAGGACATTATGACAACATGATCTTTATACTTCGAGTCTTGCTGCTGTAAAATGACAGGAAGTGTTCTTTCCAAACTTAAGTACCAATTCCTTGATAAATTGGGAAACTGAAGCTGAAGAGCTCTGTTGAGTGGCTATATGAATGGTCAGACAGGCTTATTTGGTGTCATAAGAGGCTCCGGAGGTTTGCCAGCTCTATGGACACCAAACAATAACCGATTGTAGAGCATGTAGAAGACCAATACAAGTGTTGTTGTGACTGTGATTAACCCTAACTGAGGGAGGGAGGTCCGGTAAGAGGCTTTCACTGCAGACCTTATGACACTACACAGAAAAGTGATGAAGACATCCAGCCCACCCTGGATACTTAAAAGACTGACCTCTAACAAAGGGCTGTGGCAGGGCTTCTGATGAGTAGCCGTCTCAATAAAGCCCTGCACACTATAGCACTGTCACCTACAGACCTTTTGTCATCACTGATCATTTCAGAAAGCTTCTCTACTTTGGAATACTCAGTTCATTCATTTAATCATTTATAGAACATATTTTGAAAAACTCAGTTGAATCATAGCATTCAACTGAGTTTATGAGTTGGGACTATGAGTCAACATCACATTCCATCAGCAGCCACTCTACTGCACATGTTGCCTTCAGAACGCAGGCAAAAATGCATTATTCTGACTATTTAAAGTTAACTATTTACAGTTAGACTATTAATATAATTAACAGCTTGCAGCCACCACAGATCACCTCTCTTCACTTGGCGCAACTCCTGCCTGCAGCTTTGCAGCGTCTGCAGGTGTAAGTGTTTAATTTTTAGCACATCGATTCTGTAACTCACATCCCCTTCAATCCACTGGATTTAGAAACGAACAATACCTTTATAGGCAAAAAAATATGATCAAGAGATAAATAGATCTACAACAATAGAATCCCAGAAAATGTTATCTTGCAAACAAACGCTTTAAATTGTGGAAATAAGTTGGCATTTAGCAGTAGAATTGTCTTATGTCCTAAACACACACACACAGACAAGTTGACTATGTCTTTTCATCTTGAGAGGAACTTTCTTTGCATTAACTTCCATTCATTTATCATTCATTCCCAAAGTACCTAACAATTTAACCATTACCACCACATTCCTAATCCTAAATGTAAACGAATCTCAGTTCACACTTTAGTCCTAAACCTAATGCCTAACCCAAAAACACCATCTGTTCTTATGGGGCCTGGGTTTTGGGCCCCATAAGGAGCAGTTGGTCCTCACAATATAATGTTTGTTGAAAAAATGGTCCTATCAGGATAGCAAATACAAGACCATACACACATGCATGCGCACATACACATGCACACACGCTTACACACGCACACACACGCACACACACACAACATACATCCATCCAGACAGTGCTTTGTCATCATTTATAACTGGTGAGTACAGTTGTTCCTCTGGGCTCTTGGGATCGAAACTGACACAAAAAACCCCAAGAGGTTCTGCCATGTTTCAGCCTGCCAAACACACACACTCTCGCATACACACATCTGAAAATGTGTGTTTCTTCAAAGAAAATACATACATTTAAGACTGATGCACCCAGTTTGAGGTTTCTATAGCAACTTACATGTCAAAATAATTTCCCAAGTACATGTGCGAACACACACACACACTTTCATACACAAAACCATTATTTGGTAACAGCTTGACACACCTTATTTATTAGGGAAAAAATTATGCCATCTGAAACATCCATCCATCCATCCATCCATCCATCCATCCATCCATCCATCCATCCATCCATCCATCCATCCATCCATCCATCCATCCATCCATCCATCCATCCATCCATCCATCCATCCATCCATCCATCCATCCATCAGCTCTTGTGAAACAGTGCTTTGCGACAAAACAAATTCTAGTCAATAAAACATATAATCACAGACAATTCCTCAAACTGATAAAAAAAAAGGCAAATTACAGCATCACAAACTTGAGCAAAGAGATTCAGAAAGTTCTACCGTCATTTCAATATGCAGATTCCATTTATTCAAACTGGATTTTAGTAGTAGTTTACAGGTCAATTTTTCTGACTTTGATTACTCATCAGAAAAGCCCCAAGATCATCAAGGCCAAATAGAACTGTGAAGTAAAAATTAAAACAAGTTAAAATTCTATGAAGAGTAATACTCTTGTTTTTTGGGTAACCTGATGAGTCTAGTTAGAGATTCTTTAATGACCTGTAAAGCTCTGGTTGCTTTGTGCAATAAATCCATCGAGACAAACGTTAAAATGCAGATCTAACTGTTAATATGTGTTTAACATCTCAGAACTTGTTTTGTGTAATATTGGATTTATTCTAAAGAGAATAACCTATCCTTTAAGAGGCTTTGGATAAAAGCTTCTTAAAAAATCAATTAAATTTAATACAGTGCACACACACACATACACACACACACACGGAATAGCTTTTGAATGGATAGTGCTTTCACAATGTCCTCATGCCTGTTGATTATCCAAAATTTTCTACAGCAGTGTTTTTCTTTCTTAAATTTTTCAATGTATTTGGACACAGTGTTCTGTGAACAGGCAGTTTCTGTAGGTTTTCTCAGTCATTGCTCATTGACCTGAGATTTGGGTTTCATTCACTATAATCCACAATCATCAAAGCTGAAAGGAATGAAACACATGATATATATCAACAACTGGCTAAGGCATCTGACAATGGGTTTGGCTCATTAATGAATTTGAGTTAAATTGAGTTACTCAAATCAATTAACTTTTCATTAATATTGTAATCTTTTGAAAACTGTGTTCTGATGAACAGAAAGTTGGAAGTGCTTCCACAAAGAAGAGGTGTGGTCGGACTCTGCAGAGATGGCTCTGAACACGTTCAGGTGTTGGATAATGACGTCACATGCAGCTGAGGGCTTTGTGTAAATGGCTGCTTTTGTGTCATTACTTGGTGGAAAGTGATCTAAAGCACCCTAATTGTAGGTCGTGTGTTGGTGAAAGTGATTTTGTGCCCAGCATGTGTCTGTGTCTGTCACGTCAATATTCTTTCAACCCTTTAATTAAACATCAGCTGTCAGCCACCATCCCCCACCCCAACACACACATACACACGCACACATGCACAGGCACATGCACAAGCACACACCTCCCTGACCCATCCCCTCTTTTTATGACAGTAGATAATCGTCTATGAATCAGTCCCTATTGGCGATAACATTCTAGGGAACCATAATTAGTGAACAACACCACACCTTAGTGCTCTCTTTCTATTAAATGACAATTTTCTCTGCCCTCTTCCTTACTTTTCAAGTAGAGTGTGACGAATGGGTGGATGGATGGATAAGAGGTGATCTTCACACAGAGCTCCTGTCAGCTGTAACCTTTGCAGGTTGTGATCAGGGAGAGCAAAGTCATTATCAGTCTTTATCCTTTGTGTGTCAGGAGCCCTGCTGAGAGGAGAATAGCTCTGCCATTTAGGTCATCGGTTCTGAACTTCTGGGTTATGACTGCTTAGCATTGACAGCTTCATTTTTGTGGGCGGAAAACAACATGCTATCATCTTAGATTTCAGTTTGTAGTATAATAACAACAGCAATAGATATTTAATATATTGTATTTTGGTACTAACCTGCACTGTGACAAGAGAAAGCTGGTTTTTATACTAAAAGGTGTGAATTCCCCATTAAAGTGTGAATGATTAAGCCCACAACACCCACATCCAAATACCTGAGGGGAAACTTAGCAGGTCTTCTGCATCTCCACCTAACATACGAACAAAACAACCAAACTCCTAGCACCTTTTCAGCTGCTCTTAAGGATTGAGGATAATGATCTATAGCCATCAGAGTGCAGGACGTTTTGTGTAGTTTATACCAGCAGTACTCAACAGCTGAGTGAATAAAAATGTTTAGTTTTTTTTTTATCAAAAAGATAGAATTATAATTTTCAATTGACTACAATGATCTAAAAACAACCCAATATAATCAAGTATTTTATTAAAACTGTAACTCAAGACAAAGAGGACAATGCATTTTAATAGATAACAAATATACACATTATACATCATAAAACTACTGTGGATCCTGAGGGTCAGTTTATAAAAATCCATATTTCTGTGTACAGAGACACTAACAGTAGCTCATGTTTATGGTTCAAATACAGATAGCGCATTATTATTATTATCATTATTTTTTTATTTTATTTTTTTTTATCTCTTTGACAGATGAACAGGTTGGTATGCTCAAAGTTCCATTATTGGAAAAAAGAATGAACCAATGCAATACATCTTATTGCAAACACCAGAGCTGGATGGTTTTCGAGATGAATCTTATAAACATTTCTGGGATATGCTCAATTAAATATATTTAAAATTGATATAAGAAATAAAAAAAACTGACATTATTCCCCTAAATTGCTATTGTAGTTTTGCTTAAACCTGGCAAAGATCCCCCTGTCACCTCTCCTTGTATCCACTCTGACTAAAGAATGACGATGTGAAAATTACACCAATTATTATATAGCCTATTGGTTAGAGTACATAATATATGCATCAAAAGTCAGAAGAACAATGGCTTTAATAAAATAGAAAAATCTTTTTGTGGGAAAATGCAGCTATCAGATTTGCCATTCATTAGTCAAACTATTAAGAAACATTGTTGCTTTAAATTGCCATCCATTGAGGCTATGCTGTGTTTGGTGGAAATTCAATGTTATTATTAATTTAAATTTCACCATCTCAATATACACACCACTTTGAAATGATCTGTTTCTCACAATAAATAAAAAAAAAAATCTTTTTTAGCTCATGGATCTCTAGGCATTACACATTTTGAAAATATCTTTGGATGATAAACTCAATTTATTTTCAGAATCAACTAAACAATATATACTTGATGATACTCATTTCTTAGAATACCTTCAAAGTAAATATGACCTGGAACAACTCATTATAGAACCTAATGCACAAATTACTGGACTATTTAAAAGAGAAAATTCAGCTGATATACAAAATGTTAAACAAGATTGATTCAACAATATCCATATCTAATTCAAGATGGCAATTAGATCTGAATATAAACTCAGATTATGACTTCTGAATTAACATTTGCAATATCTCATATATGACAAATTATAATCTTCAGCTCATTCAAAATAAAATACTTCACAAAATCCACTACACAACCCAAGCAGGTTTGACTGCCTCATCCCATTATAGTCATGCCAACATTATTCATGCTACAAATGCTAAACTAGTACTACAAACCACCATCAGTCTGACACATTGGAAAAATGTATTCAATGAACACATTTCAATAGAATATAGCATTTGTGTAATTGATTTTAAATGATTGTCTCTAATATTATAAATAATTTATGTATTGTAAATAACCCCAGGTTAAGGCTGTTCATCAGTAAAGCCAAAATTCTTCATTTGGGGAGTCTGCTACATGTATTATTCCTGTTTTTGCCCTATCCCTCCCTTCTCTTCCTTTTCCTTTCTTCTCCATGCATCTTCCAGTCTCATCCCAGGTAGTTCCTGTATTCAAGGTGACAAACTCCACTAAGAAATCATTTAAATATTAAATGATTCATCGTTATGTTTATGTGTACCTGCCTCTCATAATTTATTGATTTATGAATATTCTCATTACTTGTTTAATTGCTCCACATGATAGTCACTCATATTATTGCTCACACACACAGTAATATTCATTCATTAAAACAGTATTTCCTGTTCTTTTTTCCTTTTTGTGCATTTTTTATTTATAAAAAAGTGCTATCTTAAGTGTGAAGGCAGACGTGAGCTTATATACAAACCTCTGTCATTCTTTGGTTTATTTTGTGCGTCTGTCTGCTGAGTTTTAGGTTTACTAAGTAGCATCATGGCTGCTAACGGCAAGTCTGTACATGTAGCACACGCCCCAGAGGGAGCAGCAGGTCGCAGGTAGACTCCTGTGGGATTTCTAACTGCTGCTGAATGTCTGACTGCTCCTGATAACATTACTAAAACCCCTGGTAGAAGTTAACTACGACTGAAACCCTGGCAGTTGAAGATATTTCACCTTTGTGTTGACAGGTGGGAAAGGTGTATCCTCACCCCAATAGAGTTCAAGTTGTACTAATATACTCAAGAACAAGGTTACCATTTAATTAAGACTCATGCTCTGCATTTAAAAAATAACATTTATTTTGGCATTTGCGTCTTTTTATTTAGCGACCAAGTGACATAAATAGTGAGTGAGCAGGTATCGCAGCAGACGAGCATGCCGCTCTGCGCTCCTCGGTGCATTTCCTGCTCATTAAGTTCCTGAAGCCTCCTCTGTGTCTCCTCCTCCATCTCCTCCTTTGAGACGCTGAATGTTCCTCCACAGCGGCAGCTGTAGCTGCATTCACACCCATCTAAAACAACAACGCAAAAGATTAGTGACGACAACAGCTAAAAACTGATTCCCAACTGAAATTGATCTGATTACAGATTAACTGGACCAGAATATCAGAGGTTCTGAACAATTCATATAGTTCAGAACTAAAATGAAAATTAAACAGTTACTACACATGTAGCATTACATGACTTCGTGTAGTGCACCAATGGAACTTTGTCTGCACACTAATACATACAAACAGCTCTCTGCAAAATGCTAACTTTGAAATGCTCAATTTGTTAAATCACTCAAACCTGATAAATAGCCTAAATACAAAGAGAATCAAGACTTTTGTCATGTTATCAAAATTTAATCAGCCAACCACTGTGTGCAGAACCTGAGCTCCTACCTCCATGCTGTGTGATGCCTAATTTAAGAAGTGGATGTGAATCTTAGGGTGGTGTGTTTCTCCACCTGTCAGGTGAGACACTGAGGTTCAATCCCCGACAAGTCCAACTAATTTTTCTCTTGTTTATGTTATTGGTATCAGGCACAAATTGCTTTGTTTTAGGCACATTTTATTTTATAACAAAGATTTTTAGGCAAGAGTCTTCCCACTGTCAGACTGTAGATGATTGTGACTTGAACATTTCTAAGTAGCTCACAGTCTGACAAATGTGGCCATCCCTGCTGCACAGTTTAGGTTCCATGTACTCACAGAACCACAAGACTAATAAGAGAAGAACTCCACAGTATTGCAGATGTCAGTGAAAGCAAAAATGTAGTTTGTATCATATTGTGACACATAATTCATACATATGTTTTTTGGTATCCAAGGTACACCTTGATATTGATATTTTGTTTAAACATATAAAACTGTCCTTTTTTTGGATGTTAAATAAGTGTAGTGTTAAGAATATTGCTAATTCTCTGCTAAATCCAACTCTTATTTATTATGCAGCAGTAACTGTATTGCTGTACTTTTGTTTTTGTATTTTTTGTTACATATGTTTTAACATTCTCCTATTAATCATTAACATTTCCAGCTCCATTGGCAAGAAATACGGACTGTGAGACATCTTTATTTCTCCCGTTGTCATGGTGAATCGCAGTCATCTACTTGCGATTCACCATTAATGAGTGATTCTAATATACTCACACTCAAACTTAGGTCAGGGGTAACTTGATTCAGAATTACGTTACCATGTTGATATCTTGTGATCTGGAACTGAAAAGCCTGAGTATGACAGAACTGGGTAGGTTTATTCAGAGTATCTGCCTTCTACTCAGAGTTTGTTAATCCTGCCTTTTTAAATGGGACTTTGAAGTAATTAGACTCAAATTCTGATCCTACCAACTGATTGTTTAAACTGCAATCAAGACCAGACAACACTTCTCCAATCCAGTTTTGGTGAGTCTGCGTGAACAAAGTTCACTTTTCTTCATTAGCAGGATTAGCAGCTCATGTGTTGTTCTACTGTTGTAGCCCATCTGCTTCACAAGTCAATACTTTGTGGAATTTGAGATGGAATTCAGGTAATGTACAATATGTGTAAAAAAATGTCAAATGTAATCTTTTGCCAATTCAAAAACAGGTGTATCTAATAAAGTGGCTGATGAGTATATTTCACCATACCAGTACAAATAGAAGCAGTCGGCACATGCACAACCTAAAGCTTTCTTAAACCAAGGATCAGACAAAAAAAACAGAAACAATATCAGAGAAACAGAAACTCAATTTAGCATACATCAGAAGTTTGACATTAGCATATATCAGAAGGTTTTAGAATTTTTACACTTTTAAATGAAAGAACTTTTGTTTCCATCATTATTTACACCATTTTATTTTAATTTTTTTTAGGAAAGTCTTTCCTGAACAGAGTTTATTTCACATTTGCATGTGAATCAGCTCATAAAATTGTCTGGGAAGAGATTCCACTGTTCAAGCAGAAACACATGAAAACACGTCTGACCTGCTAGAGAAGGTTTTAACATAACGTGTCATTACCCGTCTCCCATGTCATGTCCTCCAGGTCAACGGTAGAATCTACTGTCCAGTCCTGTTTCAGTTCCTGTGCTGCAGAAAGATTACAGCATGGCTTTAGTGTTAAAACAGTAGTAGAGCTAACAGATACACACACATCATCACACACACACCATCAGCAGTTAGATGAGACCAAACCATTTCATTGTTTTGTCTTCTCTCAGACAGAAAAATGAAAATGGCCAGTCTCAGTGGATGGGTGGCCCATACTGTATTACCAAGCCAACAAGCTAGAAGCTAAAGAAGCTGTAGGAAGATTTAACAGAGGATGTGTGGTTAAAATCTTTCCAGCAGCAGTACTAGTAGAAATCCAGATCACTTAGTCCTAGAGGCTAAAGGTCACATCTGGGCCAATGGGGCCAAGACCAAAGCAGACTGGACACAAATTGATTTATGTCAGTGATACTTAATGAGCTCAATCTGAACCTCATCCATTTTAAATTTGGTGTTTATTTACACAGAAGCCAGTTATTAACACGCAGATTTGGTCATAGCAACAATCTGACAAAGAAAAATAGGTTTAAGAAGGTTCCTTAGATAGAACCTTTTATGACTTTGAATTGGTGACCTTAATGCAGCTGTTTCTCCCCAGTATCACCAGCTGCTGCCAGCCAGCTGGGCTGTTCAACAGATCTCCTGAAGCTCAGTCAGGCTGGATGGGCTGTGACATGTTTAGTTTAGATGTTCAGTTGGCTTTAAGTCCAGGTTTTGCCTAGACCACATTTAGGCAACCTTTTTGTCATCTTGGCTGAGTGCTTCAGCCAAGATGAATGTGTGGCAGTGTGGCTGTGTGGCAGAGTTGTCATCTTGCAATCGGAAGGCTGTAGGTTCGATTCCAGCTTCCTCCTGCCATATGTCAATGTGCCTCTGGGCAAGGCACTTAACCCTAAATTGCCTACCAGTCTGTGTATTGGTGTATGAATCTGTGTGTGAATGGGTGAATGTGACTCTAGTGTAAAGCGCTTCAAAATGACTGGAAAAGCGCTATATAAGTTCAGTCCATTTACCATTTATCAATCACTACATAAGTGTGAGGTTTGCTGTCAAGCTGCTGCTACCTCCTTATCCTCTATTCAATCTCCCAGTTCCTGCAACAGAAAACCACTCCCTGAGCATGATGCTGCCACCACTAGGCTTCAGAGTGGCAACATCTGAAGCTTATATATAGTCCAGGTGATTTTTTTTCAGGTTTGATGCTTGAAGTTTAGGTCAAACTGGAGGCTTTAGTTTTTCTGGTCTGTTTTTGCAACATACGAGTCAATAAATGAACATTTCATGTCATGTAATGAACTCAATTTACAACAACTGAACTCAAATTAGGCTGGAGAAGCATCTGAAGGACAGTCAGTGTTCTATTATCAAAGGGCAAGGGACATTTATGAATGTGACTTCTTTATTTTGTGAGAAATGTGTTAAAACTTGAGAAACTGTTTCACTTTATCATTGTGAAGTTTTGTGAGAAGAATATTCAGAGGAAAAACATCTGTAATCAGATTTAGAATAAAGCTCTACCATAAATTGGTAAAAATGTTAACTACTGTCTATTAAATACTCAATGCACTGTATTTGTATAATCAGAGAGGTGGCCAACATTAAAAGAGGGCTGGGATGTGGGCAAATTGAAAATAAAAATGGACAGGTGAAAAGACAGATGTTCACACATTTTTACAACAATTCATTGTTGAGAACAGAGTGATTATCAAGCTGAACTGTTGGATGGTGATAAATACTTTGAAGCACTAATAATTAATGCTAAATTTGGTGTAGGTCTTAATTAGTCTTGCACTAAGGGAAGAAAATTGGCTGCTAATCTAGTGATAATTTGCACTAGAACGAACGATGAGGGGCAGCAGTAGTGAGATTATTAGTACTGTTGAGTCTCACCAGGAAAGTCCCTGGTTTGGGGGTAGCAGGAAGGAGGGGGTTGGGAAGACTCTGGGGGTATTTGCTTACTGTAAAACATTAACACTCACAAACATGATTTATTTTAACATTTTTCCACTGCACAGTTCCTAAAAATGTCAGTTTCTGCCTCAAAATATTAAATTCTAAAGAAAACGCTGAAAGAAAGAAGGAAAGGGAAATTATTTGGTCACTAGGGGATTCCAAGTGGAACGATCTCTTTTTAATCTGTAGGAAAGCACCGATGAAATAAAAACAATAAAACCAGAGATTGGAATTCTAGACCAGAGAAATATCAATAAGAACCACAGCTTACACCTTATTCTAGCAAATCTGGGGAAGGTCTGCTAACTGAAATCAAACCTCTGATCAAGACCTCAAGAACACAGTGGAGCGCAGGAAGCACCATTCACTCATCTGATCAACAACATGCAAGGACATGCTGGAGGAATGCCCAAAGTCAGTTTTACCTAATAATAAACCACAAGTTTACATACACTGAATAAGAAGACACAACCACATTTATTTCCTCAGTGTCTGCAGTTGCAGTGGCTACAAAAAGTATTCAGACCCCTTTAAATGTTTCACTTTTTATTTTATTGCAGCCATTTGCTAAAAATCAAACCAGTTGTAATTATTTCACATGAATGTACCATGAGAAAGTAACAAGATTTATTCCCTACATTATGTTGGCTTATTTTGTAACCTTTAAATATTATTTTAAAAAAATAAAATTCCAGCAACATGTCAACAAAAAAAAAAAAAACACTTGGCTAAATATGAACCCACTGATTTGAAAAGACACCAACAATAGGGGTTTAAGCAGAGCAACTGTACAATATGGCAACACGGCCAAATGTGAAAAAAATTTAATATTCAAAAGCAACTGGCTATCACTAATCAGAATGAGATGTGGCTGATGTGTCTCTAAAAATAGCTGAAGTAACAACAATATGAAATGAAATGGTCGCCCTCACCTCGCCTCTGCAGGTCATATTCTCTTCTTGTGGTTTGGTCACCCAGAATCTTCCAGGCCGCATCAACTTCAAGAAATGTTCTCACACTAGACTCTGCAGAGTTTTCACCTCCAAGACGGTCTGGATGGTACTACACACACACGCACACATTAGAATTTAAACCCTCAAAGGTGTTACAGATTTCAGTAACTTTGGTGAGGGATTAAGAAGGAGTAGGTGGGAATATAAACTCGGATAACATGTCAACAAAATATCAGAATTAGTAGTGAACCAATCAGTTTTCTGGCTGCCGATCACCGATCTTTAAAAGGTCTGACCGGCCAATTCCAATTTTGGCCAATACAATTTTTTTTGCCTGAAATATTGCTAAATATAGAAAGGAAATAGCTGAGTTGGTAACAGTGAGATGACTACTGTCAACTACAAATGTTTCTCACAGCAGTGGTTAAGTTTTAGACCTTTGATGAGGTAAATAAGAGTAGTGGAAAAGATCGGCTTCACATGCCAGTATCATCCAATCGCCAATATATATATATATATATATATATATATATATATACATATATATATATATATTTTCTGTAAAGAGATGATACAGCTAGCTAGAAACCAACAGGGAATGCTGGGTAAAGGAAGCGCTCATTAGCCCCTCGTTTCCAACAATGCAGTTAATTTTCTTGTCAGGATTCAAGACATGTGACAAAATACTGGCAGAACATTATTAGCTCACCTTTTTTGAAGAAAGGAAAAAGATTTTATTTCTGACTAAAATTCACCATTAATAGCAAAGTAGAAAGTAAGAAGGAAAAATAGCTTCCCATTTTGACACTACAGAAATGTGTAGAAGGCATTAATGTAAAGTGGGAAGTCTGATGCAACTGCAATCACCGTCAGAGGCAGAACCAGAAGTTTATTAGAAAACTGTGAATTAACAGCACCACAAATGAATAAATATTGGACTATATTTTAACATGCAACATGTCAAACGTCATCTGTTCAATCCATCATGTGAACACAGAGAGAATGGACCACCGGCTAACCAACCAACACACGGTAAGTGTGGAGGCGCTGATAGATCCACAGCTCTGTTCTGGGTCACCCTCATTTCCTTCATTTTGGGAGAAAGGCTGTACTTACACATGAAACCAATCTGATCAACTGATCTCAACTAAAATAAATCAATTTTAAAAAAGGCCATTATTCTTTCGTTTTGCGGTGAGAGAGGACTGGCAGAATTGATTAATAACAGTCTTCCCACTGTTCTCAACTTATTTTGTAGTTGCAATTAGTCACTTTTTAGACAAAAAAGAAAGCGACCAAAATTGGAATCAACATGTCATGTTTTCTAAGGATCTGTGGTGGATGATTGGCCAGAAAGTTGCAGTCTCTGCACCATGCTCTGCAGCACAACCATCAGCTGTGTTGCACACAGTCCAGGGGTCTCATTTAGAAAACATTGCATGGGATCTATACCAAAAGTACACTTTGGTCCAAAAGCCACAAATGACTTTCACCAAAAGCAACCACACTTATAGAGCCACATGCAGCAGAACAAAAAGCCATTTTCCCTTTTTTAACTCACACATTGAAAGCATAAAAAAATTTGCATTGCACAGTCACAGAATATATAAAACATGATGGGAAGGATGGTATAAAAGGAGAAAAAATATATAATTTTGGTCACACAAATATCACAAGAGAGACAAAAGAAAAAAAAAATCTCATATTTACATTTACTTAATTCATTTTGAATTTTGAATTCTTCATATATTTCCTCCAAGAGAAATTCTCCCCTTCCAAACAACCAGCAGCTCTCTCTGCATAGACAGCTGGTCTTACAAAGTATTGATCCAAGATGGGCTGAAAAATACATGCCATACTTTTCTGATTTTTATTTGTGAAAAACAAAATAGTCTTTTAGTCTTTAAGCATCTAATAACGTTAAAAATCCAACAGCATCTGCATTTTGAAGGTCGTTAGGGCTGTAGGATACCAGGAAAAAAAACAGTGAATTGCAAAATTGCAATGACCATATAAACTGTGATTAAGCTAGATTTTCCAGATCCTTTTCTTTTCTTACCATCAAACACCACTAACTACTCCAGCTATTATGTTAGCCGCTAAAGATATGCAGCCAAGTATTCACAGGTGTCCAGTGTGAATATTTGATAGCCTATTTGATTTGAGTCAGTGTTAGTTTTTTTTTTTTTTTTTTTTTTGTAAGAGGGTTTTGTGATCAGTAAGAAAACTGACTCCATTAACTGTAACCACATTTACAGTTAATTGAGTCGAAAAATAATATTTTTACATTTCCCAAATAGTAACAATAAAGTTGATTGACTAATTGATGTGTTGTGTCCTACTAAATCGTATAGTTAAGCAGTACTTTGTGACTGTGATATCACGCACACAAAGTGTGTGTGTGTGTACTGTGATTTGTCAAATCAGAGCACTTACAACAAAAACAAAATATTTTTTCTAAGTTGGCAAGTCTGAATCGGAGGAGTGTCTATTTTGATGTCAGTCACCAGAGTTAGTTTTCATCTTCAACATCTTTCATAAATCATGATAAAGAGCCGCTGAAAAAAAAATAGTTCAATGAAATCAATAACATTGGCAACTTTTGTTTCATTTTATTATTCTAGAGCAGGGGTATCAACTTTTGTTGCAGGGCCTGTGTCCTGCAACTTTTAGATTTGCCTCTGCTGCACCACACCTGAATAGAATAATTAGGTCATTAGCAAGGCTCTGGAAAACAAAGGAGGAAGTAATTAAGCCATTTCATTCCAGTCTTTTGTACCTGTGGCACATCTAAAAACTGCAGGACAGCAGCCCTTGAGGACTGGAGTTTGACACCCCTGTTCTAGAGAAAATCCATTGACAGGTTAGATAGGAGATGTACTTTGGTTGGATGTTGAATGTTTGATTTTGTGGCTCAAACTCAGATTTGGAGTTAAGGACTGAAAGAACCGCTGGACACTAAATGAAAACTGGGGAACCTGATTGACAAAACTTCAGGTTACTGTAGTGTGTATCGGTAAGTCTGCTTTCATCTAGTAGACAAAAAGTGCTCCAACGTTCATTGTCTAAAGTGTCTTTCCTTCATTTTATGAAAAAACATGGCTGGGAGATAACCGTTAGTGAAGGATGTAAGCCTGTTTTCTCACCTTCAGAGCCAGCTGCTGGTATCTGTGTCTGAGCTGCTGCAGGGAGTCCGACGGGCTGCCGCCCAGCACGGCATACAGGTCCTTCTGTTCCGGATCACACATGTCTGAGCAAACGCGCAGAACAACGCCTGAAGAGGGATTCACCCACAGATAACCTCAGGTGATATCCACCTTCCACTTGGATGAGACGATAGCAGAACCCGAGCAGAGCCGCCGGAAGCGGAGCTGCTCAGTAAAACGTCCCTATAACATCTCACCGCCAGTCTTTAAGTAGCGAACTGGTCTTACTTGGGTGAGATGTCCGGATAGAGGAGGTCATCAACCCAGAGCAGAAAATATACACTGTTGTTATAAAGCTAATGTTTACGTACTAAAAAGAGAAAAGACGGGCATATTGTCCGTCGGTGTTTTAATCTCGTGAAAACGACGTCAACCCTTATAGTTCCGCTAGCTGAGGTAAAATGAATAGTTCCGGTTGAATAGCGTTCAGGTCTTTCAGGCAGATAGAGTTCAGTCTTACAACTGATTATGGTTATGTTGTCTTTACATCTGGAACAGAATGAAATCCATCTTTATAAGTTTTATGTTGAAAATTATAAATTAGGAATATACTGGAGGATTTAAAGGTGAACTATTATACGTCTTTGAACACACCACATCCAATAAAAGCAATTTTAATTCAATGTTGAGGATGTGAAACACATTTTAACCTTTGGATTGTCATGTTGAAGCAGGAAAAGCTTTATAATGTAGTTTCTAACACCGCTATCCCTCCATGACTCTTTTCATCAACAACATACTTTTCCATACAATAAATCTGAAATGAATTCGAAACAAAAATTAGAAGTATGAATAGAAGTATTTAGAGTAATATTAAATATGAAACAAGGGTAACATTCAAAGATTATCAAAACCCAAGCTGATACCACAACTTTTCAGTGGGGATAAGATTAAGACTGCAGGATACTCCTTCCTTTTCATTTCCAAATTGTAGTGGTAGTCTCAGATAAACCCCTGTCTGTGGTGACTAGTGTTCATGTCTTGCAGGATTCAGTTTGGTTCCTGAGAGTAAGAATATGGGTTAGGCACTGGTTACAGAATCTCATCTTGATTCCTCTGTTTTGAGATTGGCCCCAGCTGTGCAAAACCTTATTTTTCCAGTGATGAAGATGCCACCAGCGTGCACATAATTCACATATTCTGCTCTGCTTACTTATCAGAGTATTCAGAAAGGTCACAAATTTACATTTACAAAAAAGTGAACAAAAGGCCTCAAATGGATAAAAAAAATATATTTTTAAGTAGATTCAAGGAGAGAACAAAATCAAACCGAAGAAAATCCTTAAAAGGATTAGCTTTTGGAATTTGACCAGGCAGAGTTTCAGTTTATCTCCCATTTAGTCCTACATTAGTCTTCATCTCCTAGTCACAGTAAAAACAAAAGTCACAGAGAAACATCTTACATAGGTCTCCTTGTAGGTACCCTCCTTTCTACATGCATGTTTGAAAGATCCAAATAGTCCTTAGGTACAGAGCGTTTTAAAAGCAATCTGAAATATCACAGTGTGCATTATCTGAGAAGCGGTCTAAACATTAGTTTAAAAAGGATTAAGTTATAAGATGCCAAGCAGGTAGAGGTCACAAGAAGACATTTTGCAGATATACTATGAGGCTAATCAGTTTTGGGCACTAAAATGAAGTCATTTGGCTGAAACAACATAATAAAAGAACATGAAGATATAGTTTTTTACAAAATATGCCTTATGACAAGACACTATGGAGTCACTGTAGCTTTTTATGCATGTAGAGAGTTTGACACTCTGTAATAAATTCAATCTTTATGGTGTTGATTTCTATCGGCAAACCTTTGAAACAACTGCCAGGAAAGAGCAGCACATGACCACCTGCAGGGAAGTCTATGCTGAAAGTACAGATCACAAATGATCTGTTAATTGAAATGGGATCAGAGGAGATGAGGTGACATAATGACACATATGATCTGACTTCCTGTCTGTCACTTTATCACAGTTCTTAACAAGACCCCAGTGATAATGGGAGGGGGTTTGGGGCATTCAGTGATGGACGTTGTGCTGTTAATTATTTCTTCATTTTGGGTGAATTAAGGCCAATTAGACAAGTGAACAGCGTTCACTGTCAAAGAGAGGATCAGTGTTCTTTTCATCCTACTGCTAGGTCTCATGCATTTCTGGATGATTTTGTCTTTGTGAAGATCCTTAAGGCATTAGCTCAGAGCTGCTGAATAAAGTAATATTTTACAGTTACATATTTGAAGCACATGAAACTTTGACAGAAGGACAACATAAATAAGTTTCCTTTACAAGGAAGAAGAAATCTTAATGGCCAAGTTTTTTGTTAAACTATAATCTTATTGGTTTTATTTAATTTGTTTTTTTTAGTTGGAGTGATCCGTGTTTATTAGGACCATATATTTCCAATATGGTCCTTTAAACCATGTTCTTTAACTCTGAAAAAATAACGAACCTTAATGCACACTTAAACATCCTTGATAGTAAGATTAGTAATTTTCTTATCATTCTTACATTCATAGGTCTACTGTTTTTCATTTAAAGGTTTAGTGAATTTGTTAAACCTTGTGAAAGACAAAACTTGCTTTTTCTTAACCTTGCAGCTGTTTCCCTATCTACTCCTTGTGAAACTACCTGTGGTGTGTAGGATATTAGTTCCTGTGTTCCTCTTTCCTTCTTATCAGAATGGCCCCCTTCTTTGATTTATTATCCACTACATTCCTTTCACTCCTGCTTTGCTTTGTGTTTATAAAAAAGACAAGCGCTGAAGCAAAGTCAGCTGGCTTTGGCCAGGCTGGTTTCTGCCAGGCTGCCAGACAGTGCCTTCTCCTTTTGCAAAAGGCTTTACAGAAAATTGATAAATGTTGTCTTTTATGTAGGTTGAGAAAATATCTATCAGTCCTGGACACATTTTTCACTCTACTTCAGCATTAAACAGTGAAGGTGTTTGAAAGTAAATACAAAACTACAAAATCAAACCAAGTGAGACACATTAACAACTATAAGACTCGCTTCGCTCCATTCAGTCTCATTTCTCTACACCAGCTTCATAACAGACAGTTCAAGTAGCCTGGGAATCAACCTTACCATCTTTTTGTTTCCATCAACCATCAGTATGTGCTTCCTTCACTGCTTTGAGTTCACCTTGGGAATGTTCAATCTAGTCTCTTTTTTTTTTTTTCCTGTAGCACAGAATTTAACTATAAAAAAGCGAAAAACTAATAATAATTTTGGGAGAACAGGAGATATCAACAGTTATCATGACCTGATAATCTTTACTCTTCAAATTTGTGTTTTCTGTTAAACCTCCAAAGCCACCCTTGTGTCCAGAGCTGCAGGTGACATTTAGGCCTTCAAAGTGCCTCTTGATAACTTTGGCTGAAAATGATAAAGTACCAACTATCATTTTTAAATCTAGATATCTGCCATTTACTCTTGCCTTATAAATTATTGGAATGACAAATAAGTCTGCATCACAGCTTTATCTTATCTTATCTTATCTTATCTTATCTTATCTTATCTTATGAACTGAAAAAATATAATTAGTTTTGGAATAGCTTTTTGAGTTGACGTTTTTGGGTTGAATGACATTATGAACTTTACTATAGAAGCTAGGAGTTCTGGAGGCTGCAGGGCCACAGAGCCTTCCCTGGAGGAAGAGCAGGAGACCAAAAGAACCCTCAGATAGTCTTGTCTGAAGACTGGATTGGAGCGTTGTAAAGAGGTTGACACCCACAAAGGAACTCCAGAGGTTCGTGAAGGTGTGGAGGTCTGGTGGTGGCATTTGTCTGGCCCGTCTTAAGCTGAATCCAAGGTAGTGGAACTTTTGTTGGTACTGGAAAATACTGATTCTTATTGCTGAAGGAATAAGAAAACAGAATAATTTGTAAGAATAAGGATGTGGGATCCATTGCTGTTGGTGTTGCACCAACAATGGGGAGAGTGGATGTGCATTTGCAATGCTGTTGGTGAAAACGCAAAGGTGACACTGAAATGTAAGGAGCTAAAAGAGTCACAAAATTCACAAGTGCACAGATCAAGACTTACAAAATCACAGCACCAGATTCACAAATGTACAGGATGTGATACACACTTATTGCACTGCATTTGTATGTAAATTGTGAGACTCTTCTGATGTCTAAATCCATAAATGGGTTTTTGTTTTTGTTTTTAACAAGATTCAAAAGTAACCAACAGTATGTATCACATTAACCCATTCCAACAGAGCTGTACCCATGTCGAAGCACAGTTTAGTCAGCCTGGCTTCTGGCAGTGAAGTTAATAAGCACAGCTACTGAACTAGCATGTAGCACAGCTACTGAACTAGGCCAGTGACTTTCCATACAGCTGAATTTTCTGTGATTAAGCTAACTGCCTGAGTTTGTTGCCCCTTACTGAGGTAGCAGCTCAGGCATTTGTGCAATTATTGTCCCAGAAGCTGTTCTCTGCCCCAAGAAAGTAATAGCCTTTGTATGTTACAAATTGCATATGAAAAGCCCTGGTCTTCAAATTATAAATTATTATAGTAATAAAATAATTCATTTAGGTCATACTTTTCAGAAATAAAAAGTCATTTTTTTACTTATACCGACTCCACCACTTCCATTTCAAGGCTGGAATGGAAGTGGTGGAGTGGGATACAGCATGGATGGTGTGAAATCACATGTTAAGCTTTGATGTTGCTTCTAATAAAGTCATTCTTCAAGACCTCATTGAGGAGCATCTCATTAATTCTAAAATTATTCTAATGTTTGGGATTACTATAAAACTTTAATTGTTGATTCAATATTTGGTTGGATTTTGATGGAGGAACAATTAATGAAAAAATAATAATAGCAAAGAGAGCCGACACTCTGTCCTTGACAGAATCTTTATGTCCAAATTTTTGCACAAACATTCATTTGGAAATACTCAAGAGAAGAATGGTTAATCAGATTTTGGTCAGTATAAGATGTAACTACATGTATGGATAGTGTGTAGGTGTGCATCTGTGTGTGCGTGCGTGTGCGTGCGTGCGTGTGTGTGCGTGTGCATGGGGGTGTGCGCGTCTGTGTACTGTTTCACACTCATATGTAGAGCAGCTGGTCATTAGAAATGTGTGAACTGAAGAAACAACACAGATGATAATAACGACACAAGCTGGCTCATTAAAGATCGAAAAGAACAACAGGCACAGACAATACACATATTGTCTCATCTACCTGTTTGTGATCATAAAGCTGGTGTTAAATTACAAAAGACAATTAAACCTGATAAACAAGCTGAATGATGTAAGCACCTACAAAATCTTTGTCAAAATCAATGACCCTCACATTACTTTTTTTTTTCTGCAGATGATTGGCAGCACGGACTAAAGGATGCGTGTAGCAAGT